TCATCTAATTACAAACAATAGGTTTCCCACTTCCATGATTCGATTATTTAGACTATTTCAGAGGGTGTAATGGTCTCCGAAGGCAAACGACTTCGACATGACCCAAACCCTGGATTCTGGGAGAGCTTGGAAGCTGCATCCATCAACATCCAACAGAAACTTCCATGTCTCTGGGATCACTCTTCCAAACTCTCCAGATCGCTTTTTCGCTTTTTTTCGGGGCCACCTGCCTGGCCCCGTCCTCCCGTCCTCCCGTCCCGGCCTCCCGGTCGACCACCTTCCGCCGCTTGGCCAGGCTCCGCTCGGCGAAGCCCCGGAGATCGCGCCGGCGCATCGGTGGTTTGATTGGTCGGGTGAAAGAGCATCGAAGCGTTTGGGAACTTGGGGAGGGGTGTCTTGTTGGGAGGGGATGGTGACATGGTGATGGCTTGGTGTTGAGTGGTTGTCTTGTCGCGCACAATAGAAGTTTAGGCTAACTTGGAGGTCAGAAAATAGGTAGGCAATGGGCAACTGCTTCTTTTGGCGGTGGAATGCCATGGCTGAGGATACATCTGAAGACAACCAATGCAGCTTGTTGCAAATGGAAGATCTTGAATAACGGTCTTTGGATCTTTGGAGTCTAAGAGTCTACCAAGACACCAACCAAGGATGAGAAGTGTTGGATGTTCCCACTAGGAACTGCAAACGAGGTGATTCATGACTCCAACCCTGTTTTACAAGATTCTTGATTCGCTGGGAAGATCTTCCATCTCCGTCCTCTCCTTCATGCAGCATCCTGCCTACCTGGTCCTTCCCAGTCGCTGGAGCCGACATTGCGGGCGTTTCGCAAGTTCAACCACAACGCGAGTTCCACCACACTGGCCAGTGTTTGGGGTCGCCCCAAAACAAACGGCCAATCGCAAGCAATCTTTCCCAAAACTAGTGCCAAGTGCATCACTATTCGTAACAAGTGCATCGCTACTAGTGACAAGAAGCTACTAGCAACAAGTGCATCGCTACTAGTAACAACGACAGGCAAGATTCGGAACTCTTTGAAGAGTGGTAGAAGCCACACACTCGATCCAGTGCAAGAATGGGGAATCGATTGTGGGATCAATCTTCCCAGAGTTATTGTTGCAGAAGTATCTCATGGTGCCATGTTGCTGCTATGGGGCCGCCCAAATCATTCTATAATTCTATGTGCAGGATGCGCTGCCAGCACGCAAGCAGGTCAAACGGCCTGACTTGTGACCTGCCATGTTTGAGACATGTTTGAGGGCAGAAAACTCTTCAACCCCCAAGGAAACTAAGTTCCGAACAAGGATAAGTACAGTGGTGTGGTAGAGTGTCGCTTGATGTGAATCAAAACCTTCCTGTGCCTTGGACTTCTTCTGCATGTCCTGCATGTAGAATTTCTTGATCTCCTCCTGAGCTTGCGCAAATCCTTCGAAACAATGCATCCTTTCAAAAACGTCAGATCTCAAGAAAGCGGAATATGGTAGAATCCCGAGATATGCTGATTTTCTGGCTGAAGGATTATTCCACCCTCGTCCTCTATGCCGGGATGTAAGCAATTCAGAAGTGCTGGACCTCTTCCATCAACCCTCAGTTTGTCTGTTGTTCACAGTTGCAGCGTTTGTGAGTATCAAAAATGCAGACGAAATCCCTTGTTTCTGCATCCTTTGGAAACACTTGTTCGATTCGTTCAGGTTCCCTGCAACCTGCTGGGCGACCCTCTGTCTTGATGCAAGGCCACATGGGGGAAGAAGCAAAAGAAGATGTCTTTATCAGATGCCAAAGCCGATCCCACAAAACTCAACTAGACTTCAAAGATTGAAAGGGACTTCAAAGGGAAGCCCAATAGACTATCCCATCATTGAAAGGGACTTCAAAGGCCAAATCAGATCGTTTAACCCTGGGAAGCTTCCTTCGACAGCCCTTCCATGTTTTACAGCGCTGCCCACCACCTGCACTTATTTTACGGATCAATAAGCTGGGATCATGCACCAGCTGAGTCATCAAATGAGCGTGTGATGATTTCTACATACAACTAATGGTATACCCCATGAACATCTGCTTGGCCTGTGGTTTTCCAGTTTATAGTGGCATGCTAGTGGAGTATCTAATGGTAGCTTCGAGTAGCTACGCATGGGGTGCTTCTTTGGGGTAGCTTCCCGCACCTCCTGTGCTGCCAGCCGCGCAGATTCCTGCAGCGTCATCTCGACGTGATGCCCACGGTGGAACACAGTGGCAAACAGGCAAAACGACGGGCAAAACCATTCAATGATACCCCTCGGTCTACACGTCCTGAACCATTCCTGAAGCACAAATTGTACATCATAGAACATTGTAGTCATTTCATATATGAACACAATCATGTCAACATGTGTCCAAAAAAACAAAAGCACATCAGTGGATGGCCTCCCTCTGCTGTTGCTCTTGCTCTGCCAGCATAGCAGACTCCTGAACGTTTCATAGGGCTCGTGGGTTGGGGTCTGCATTACTCCCAAGGAGGAAGTTTTCCAGCTGAACTTGAAGATTGATGACTGCCGGAGCTACAACTGCCTCAAGTCTCTAAACGATCCTCCGCTGACTTTGATTGAGTATCAACTCAGGATCCAGGGACACATGTGATCGCAGAAAATTCCAATTTGGATTGGCTGTGATCGGCAGAAAGCAGAGAATGAAGCAGATTCATCAAAAAGGAGCATGACAGAGACATTGACGATCCTCGCTTGGGGGTCCCCATGGGGGTCCAAGGGGGGTAGGCTCTAGTTTGTGGGCTCAGAGGAGGCTCGCGCTAGTCCAAAACCAGTCGACTCCGCAGGGTTTGCGCTGTCTACAGCAGGCGGCTCTCACGAAAGTCCATACCTGGCGTGTAAACTGCAGCAGCTAGGTGTGCAAGACATGTTGTGCAACTTGGGATGTCACTTCCGAAAAAAGCGTTGAAGAGGTGTAACACACCGGATCAAGTCCGTCCGAATCACCACAACCATTGTTGCATATTGTTGCCTTTATTTGCAAGTTTGTATGTGTATATATGTATATATATAGATCTATTTACAAGGACGTAGAGAGAGAGAGAGACACACACACAGAGATGCACTGCTCCTTTCCATTCCTGAAGCAAATCAAACAGAATTTGAGACGCCTGCCAGGTTCATTGAGGTTCACGAGCGGTCAACCCAAATCTGCAATGATGGCCAACGGATTTGCGCTGCAAATCGAGGTCAACAACCGTCCATCGGGCAAAACTACCCGAAGATTTGGAAGGCTAACCCGCAAGTCACTGGCAATGCGCTTGTGAGTCTCCCAGGCCAGGTCAGACGCTTTTGCTCTCAATCGTAATACCTCATGCCCGGCCAAATCACTGCATGTCAGCACAGCTGCATCATCTTTAAAGGCAACGCCCGCTTGCAGAATGTAGTCTTTGCCACAGTCAAAAAGGTAGCAACAGCCTGAGGTTGGAACAGGTGGAATGTGGCATCCTCCTAAATCGTCATTTCCACAAGCAGCAGCACTCCCATCACTTCGCAAAAGCACTGAATGAATACCTCCTGCAGAAACTTGGGTGTAGCACATTCCCTCCTCCAAAGGTGGAATATTGCATTCTCCATCATCGTTCCACCCGCAAGCAACAGCACTCCCATCACTTCGCAGAAGCACTGAATGATAAATTCCTGCAGAAACTTGGGTGTAGCACATTCCTTCCTCCAAAGGAGGAATGTTGCATTGTCCACGATCGTTCCCTCCGCAAGCAACAGCACTCCCATCACTAAGCAGAAGCACTGAATGATTACCTCCTGCAGAAACTTGGGTGTAGAACCTTTCTTCGTCAACAGGTGGAATGCTGCATTCGTCAAGTTTGTTATGTCCACAAGCAACAGCACTTCCATCACTTCGCAAAAGCACTGAATGACGATATCCTGCAGAAACTTGCGTGTAGCACACTCCCTTCTCCAAAGGTGGAATG